TGTTCATACAGAAAGGAAAAAACTGCTGAGGAAGAGGATTCTGCAGTCGATGGTGGGACTATGAATGAAAGCCAGAACGATGAATCAGAAAAGAAGGACATTTTAACAGAAAAGAACGACAAGCCTGAGGCGAATATTTCATTCGCATTCGACCCCATCAAAGATGCCCATCTAGTGGCCAAGTATGCCTATGAAGCCTACAGGGACGATGAGGTTAGCAGTCATTGGCTTGACCTTTTTCTATTTTTCTTTTGAATTGATTTCTGCTTTTAGGAAATTATCAAGTATTGGTATCAGAGGTATCGTTTGTTCTCGAAACTCGACAAAGGGATCTTGATGGACCGAGGTAGGTCTAAGTGAGAACTTTGTCTGTCGTTTTTCTCACTCTTTTCGTTCTCGGCTTATAGACGATGTTTTTTTACTATTTGCATTATCGTTTAGAAGGATGGTTCTCTGTGACGCCTGAACGAATTGCGGAACATATCGCCGATCGAATGGTCCGGCAACCGAATGTGTTGATTGTTGATGCCTTTGCCGGTGTAGGTGGTAACAGTATCCAACTGGCACTGAAGGGAGCGCAAGGCGAGTCAACATCATATTGAACAGTGGAAGGGGTTTTTTCCGAAAGTGCTTCTAAAGTTGGAAGAAAAGGGCTGCGGCTGTGTTTTGCAAAAGTTCAAAAAATTCGAGTGGTGTTGTTCAGTTTGAAGGCGTGAGTAGTTTATACTTTTTCAGTAATAGCGATTGATCTGGATCCGGTTCGACTTAAGTGCGCCCGCGAGAACGCGAAAGTATGTTTGATCTTTATCAGGCTTTCATCTATTTCTTTTCAGTTTTCCCCTACAATTTCTTCTTTTTAATACCTCCTCATATATCTTGTTATTTCAGCTTTTTGCCGTAACGTTTTATAGTTTGCAGACGAAATTCCGTTCACCCAAAATTTTCAGAGGCTTTAGGTTCAAGTTGAAAATGTTGAATTCAGGTGTATGGTGTTGCCGATCGCATTGAATTTGTCTGTGGGGACTTTTTCCATTTCGCAGCAAAATGGACGAATGACGTGGGAAGATCGGCAGAGGTGAATCAGCCCTTTGGTATTCTCCATCAAGCTCTTTGATTTTTTGGTTCAGGTCGATGCAGTGTTTCTCAGTCCACCGTGGGGTGGACCAAGTTATCTGAAGTCGAAGGTAAGTCGCAGCGTAAATCTTTTAATAAGAGTTGGGCGTCTGGGAAAGTGGAGACTTCTCGACTTTTTTTTTTATCGCGTTTCAATTTGTTTGTAGGATTTTGATTTGGATGATCTCACTCCCAATGGTTTTGACATTTACACAGCCGCGCGAAAGATGTCGCCAAATATTGCCTACTTTTTGCCGAGGAATACAAAAGTAAAACAGGTAGGCAAGGACTACTTACAATTTTTTAAAGTTCATTTTGATGT